AAAATTGACGAGTGTTAATTTTGACGAAATAGTGAATCAAGATATGCATTTTTAATTTCACAAAGTAAAAAGAGAATTCCACAGTTACAGTAAGACCATCTACAGTGTGTAAGATTGTACAAACCCTATATGTGTGAAAGATACAATTACGGGTACATAAATTACTGTACCATTTTGTATTTTGTTTTCATTATAAGCGATCAATTGCCTAAGGTAACAAACCTGGTCAAGCAAGGCATGATAATTACGCTACTTTATGCATGCTAGTATTTGATATACTAGCTTAGATTCAATTCTTTTTAAAAAGTGTGATTATATATCACTATGTTTTCATAACTAATTACAAAGGAAATTAACAGTAACTTTGGTCTAGTTTTAATAGGGGAAAGCCGAGAAAATTAAGCGGTAAAATTGTAGAATGGTCAATGTCTCTTGTGATGCTATATATATGATGCGTAGTTTGACTAGTGTAAATTTTGACGAGAAAAGAAAAATCGTCAATATAGTCAAAATTAGCACATCGTCAAAATTTCCACGTTAACAGTATTTCCTCGCCAGTGATTGAGAAACAAACCATCTCATTATAATAGCAACCCGACAGAGCCATTACAGGACTAGTTTATGGATTCTCAAAGATGACCGTGTTAGTATCTGATACAAAGGGGGGGAATAAAAAGATTGTCACTTGGGTTTTGGAAAAATTCTATGGTGTTCCCCATCTACACCAAAAACGCAAAAGTCTTGCTTTAGATCTATTTCTCTAACACAAATAGCATTGATTGATTTTTTAAATGTTTTTTTTTAATCTTCAGCTTCCAATCTTTGGTCAAACAGTTGATGTACAGAGTGTCTTTGGTTGGTCCGAAACTTTAAAAGGGTTTTTCTGCTAATTCAAAGATGATTACATGGCATTGAAGTTCCATCGGAGGGGTTGTAGATTAAATATGAAATTATTAAATCTTAACCAAAAATTCGCACTTGTGTTGAGAAAAAAAGGATATGAATAAGGAATTGTGTTGCAGATCTTGCTTGTGTTAGTATGTACCAGAAACTTCGGGAAAAGGAAGAAAGATGCGCATGGTTTGTGACGACTTGGATTGCGGAAACTGACGACATTTACCGAAGCCAAAGCTAAGGTTATCTTTCTTGGATTAGCTTTATCCATCTCATCAACGTATGATTTATAACTCATAGTGAGTTAAGTTGGAATATCTTAATGTCTATGCTTTATGATTATTAAACCATTGTTAATTACAATACTCAGCAGCCACGTAGCATCGTTTTTGAAAGAGGCGGCAGCCAGAGAAAAAGAATACTAGTACCTTACCTGGAAAAGTTGACAAGCAAAAAACAGGAAAAAAAACAGTTGCCCAAAGTCGAAAATCCTATTTTCTCAAACAAAATGACTTCACCTTGTATTTTGGTCACACCCTAATTTTTTTTTCAATGCCAATTTTATTCTTTCCTTATATCACAAATTGGGGGAGGCCAACCTGCCTTTCAATATACATTTCCTACAGTATAACTAATGTTGGGAAAATAGTGGAGGGCCTCCCCGCCCCATTGCTACGTACCTGCTCAAAACCAAACTATGTTGTTTATTATCTTGATAAATTCTTGTTTGTCCTGAGACCGAGTGTTTCACAAGGATTACAACTTGCCGAAATACTTAAGTTATCTCGACGAGATTTTGGCGTCCTAACCAATGACAAAAACTTCACCTTGTATTTTGGTCACATCCTAATCCTCCAAGATGCTTTTACTTTAATATTGTTCCTAATTATTGCTTTGCTGGCGTATAACTTTAAAAATATCACGTTTCCATGAATATTCCTGTGTTAATTTAATATATTTGCATATCCACTGCACTCTCCCACTATGAATATGCAGTCATCAATTGCATTCATAGCACTATAGACGCAATTTCTTTTACTATGAGTGCAATTGCTCTATGACACTCGTGTTGGACATTTCTACTATACTTATACACCGTGTTGAGAAGTATATATATGAAATGTTTCATAAGAGGAATAAAAACAAGTTTTTAATAATATTCTTTGAAAAAAAAAGAAATTCAGAATATTTAAAATTGCTGATTTATATCTTTAAAATTTCAATTTTTGGTAAATGTATTTAATTGTAAAATAAAACTTTTTAAGAATTGTAGAGAACTGCCATATTCTTATTTTTTGTATCATGCGTATTTGAACAAAGAACGATAACTCTTCACACTTGGGTAATAACATTCAGAAAGGAAAAAAATCTTTAACTAGTAGATTTCAAGAATGATTTCAGCTAGTAAAAATAAATAGAAAAACTAAAAAAAAATATAGAATAGCATTCTGGAATAATAATCATTATAAAAGCATTCTCTTTTTTCATCATAGTGTGAAATTATTGATTTTCGTCAGAGGGTTTTAATAACGTTGATCGATGACGTCACAACTGCAACAAACAAAAATGTGACTGTGTTTGGAAGGGAAATACTTTATAAATATGTTTGTGATTTATTAGAGAAAAGGAGCATTAATCAGGTTTATTGGTTTTGAAGCTGTATGTTTTTCTTTACTGAAGACAAGAAGCTGCGTCCTTATGTAAGTCAGGATTTCCTCTGATATTCTTGAAAAAAAATCAAAGAATGCAAATATACATGTAAGTAATAAACAACGATTATTCAGTGAACATGGCATTATGAATAGCAATAGTTCTGCTGGCATATTTTCCATGATGCGCTAGAAAAAAAAAATATCAGAACTCTTTTTCAAAGTCAACCAATGCAAGTCTGGGGCTTCAATGTCTACCTTTAGAGAATAAGGTGTATTGACTGACTATGGAGTCGGCCAATGCCTACATTGACTGACTGGTGTGCAGTAGGCTAATGCCTGGATTGACTGACTGATGTGTAGTCGGCGAAGGTCTGCATTGACTGACTGATGTGCAGTCGGCCAATGCCTGCATTGCTTGACTGTGCAGTCGGTCAATTGACTGACTGATGTGCAGTTGGCCGATCCATGCATTGACTGACTGACTTTGAAGTCAACCAATGCTTGGAGTCAGTCCTTGCCTGACATTGATAGACATTATAATGCACAATTCCTGAGATGAGCCTGCATTCATACTGCATAGTAATAGAAATCCTACATTGAGGTATTGGGAAGTGTTAATTATCTGCATTCACATATAAATGTACAAATTCAGTAGCAATGCAACAATGCAGGTAATGAGATTTAAAATGGAAAAATAATTCTAGTGATATTAAAATATCTCTATCTAAATTTAACTTTATTTTGCTCAACTTTGAAAAGTAAAAGTTGATGCATAAGCCAATAAGAAACAAAGCTTTAAAAAGTTGCTGTTTTCATAAAAAAATTAATTGAAACATATCAAAATTTAGTTGAGACTCCATTTAATGTTTCACCTTTTGTGCAACATTTTTCCCTTGAAGGAATGAACTGCATGAACTTGAATCTACATTACTTGGGGTTATTTCTTATAATAATAATTCCTGGCTTTTCTATTCTTTATAAATAGATTTCGATCCTATGTATTATTAGGTGTTATAATTACTTTAAAACAGTTTTGCCCAACACTACCCCGTGGTCAAGCGGTCGCGACTTTACCAAAAGAAAAATGAGTCTACTCTATCATGATAATTTTACTTGAATATAAGATTATAAATGTTCCTCTTGCTTCCATGGCACCTGATCCCGCCTCTGATCCCACCTCTGATGTTTCGGAGGTCCGTGTTTGCTCTGCTCTTATTTTGTATTGTTTTATGGACTTTGAGATTGAATACTGTTCTTTATCTCCATATCCTTCTTGAAAAGAAGATATTGAAATAATAATAATATATCATATAAGATAAGATTATAAATTATTAAGATAGAATTGTCATTGTGTTTTAATTATGTCCATCTAGAAAGAGGGTGTGAACCTCTTCTGTATACATTAAAATTCTCTTTTACTTAAGGATGTTGTATCGACTAGTAGTTTAGCTAAAACTGTCGTACTTGATCTTAAGAATTTGAACTTGTGATAAGGTTATTTAACACCATACAAACAGAAATTAAATTGACAAACGGACACTGAACAGTTTTTTAACCTTTGTTGGCTCTCAGAAAAATTAAAGAAATATTATAGGGCTATTGAACTTAAAATATTGGTGAATATTGGCACGAGTTGGCTGTTCAAATGCTTGTGAGTGCATTTGAACAGCCAACGAGTGCCAATAATCACCAATATAAACTCAACAACTCCTTTATTATATACATATAGCTAAAACATTTCTACATAATTTATACTAACTATTCCAATTAGAAAAAAATCAAATTAATGATTTTCTAGTATCGGTATTCAAATTAACGTCTCTTCAGTTAGAGTTCAATATCGCAGCATTCCGAAGACCCTACCGAGCGATATGATTTTTTGCTAATTAAGGTTTTAATGGGTCTATTACGTACTAAATTTTAAATAAACATTTCCTTTTGTGTGACAAAATAAATGCCACTTCATTTCGTTAATTTAGCTCCGAGAATTTGACCAGACGACTTTTTTTGTTTACAACGGGGCGTTTGATATTGAACGCTCGTATTCGGAATGTTTCGGACATACTCGTATACGTAATACAAACTCAGCGTTCCATAAAACGTTAAGATTGGCAATGCTATAATTCTCTGGACTTTGGTAGTATTTTATTAGATACTTGTGCTATATACATTTATTAGCTATATAATAAGGCTTAATATTATATTTATGTCATTTTAGTAACCCAATCCTTATATTAACCTGAAACATAAATGATTACTTAAAATCAAACATATTATATATCTTCAAACTGAAAAAGTGCCAATTTAAAACTGAATTTATAAGTAAACAGGCAAGTAAAGGTACTCTAGTCGTTTATAACATATAATTTTAAAGTTATTTTAAAGTGATTTTTTCTATTTATATCATGATTGATTTTACATTTAACAATGTTTAAAACCATTGATAAATCAGTGTTATAAATTATGTTTTGTTGTCAAGCGAGTATGTTATCTATAAACCTCTTTATATTTGAATGACGGATCTTTTAACGCATAACAATGTGTTGCGATAATGACAACTGTGTACCTTGCATTCATATCTTAAGTTTATACTCAATTTGTACGATTGGAAAATTAGCAAATAAAAAACAAATCAAACACGTGATGTACATGGACACTGTAGTGCAAATTGTTTGTTTTAGCACATTTTCATGAAGGATTATCAGCTAAGTTTATAGATAGTACACTTTGTTCCATCAGAAATGAGAAATTCGTTATAACAAGGATTAAACGCCAAATAGCGGGCACCTGGATAATTTGAAAGGAGGCACTGGCTGTTATTTCCATCCTTGAAAATGCAGAAAACTCCGCCACTTTGTAAATGTTCCTTTATTGGTCTTCCACATCTGCCATCTCGGCAGGGCTCATATAAATCCTGGTTACATCTTCCACAAATTATATTTTCTCTCAATAAAGTATCTAGCTCTCTTCCTTCAGCGTAATTATGAAGACCACATTTTCTGCAATACATATGCAAACGATCGCATTTCGCTATTCGAGGCATTGAACACACAGCATAAATATTATTTTTGTAATCAAATGCAAGGAATTTTGGGTTCTTCATGTTAGCGTTCTCATAAAGAAATATGTCGTTCCCAGCCGTAGAATAACAACCTACCCCATCTCCTTCTACAAATGCAATTCGTTCGTATGTTTTCGAAATACTCATTATTGCGTTACTATCTGTCCTTGGGATAGTATGAATTACTGACAAAGCGGGAGAAAGGGCAAAGATCACCACATTGCTCTGAGATGCGATGATAATTCTATTTTGTGTTTCGTCAACACTAAACATATCAAACTCCTGCTTTAAGTCAACCTCTCCGTTACAAATAAAATTTATAGTATTGTACTTCTTCCTTATCTGTAATTTCTGTATTGTAGAATGACATCCAACGTACAAAACATTTTGTGTTGACCCTGTCCATAGATAAGGTTGTCCTTTTAATTCCAAAGACGAAACACATGAGTGTAACGAACCATCAAGATTATGGAATGATAGAACGTTCGACGATGAAGCAAATGCCAAGGTGTCATTATCTATAAATACGCTCTGCTCTGCAAGAAACGGTAGTTCAAACTCTCCTTTTTTCTCAATATTCAGTGCCTCGGATTCGGACAAATTTTCAAAAACCATCGATGGCTGTATCTTTCTAACTATTTCAAATATCTGAAATGATGACATATGCAATGACAAATTCCAGAGAGTGGCTGTCGGTTTTACAATGACCCTAAATTCATCAATCTTATCATTTTCACAAAATTGTTTTAATATTGTCGTATGATCATGTTTATAATCGTATTCTTTGTCTTCGGGATTTCTGATCTTGAGTTGATTAAACTGGTCTTCGATATCTCTTTTAATTTTCACGGAAGAGAGAAATATTTGTGTTGAGGTACCTTTATCCTTAACTGCAGAAAGAAGTGCTTCTCCATTATTGACTATCAGGAGGTATTGTTTTATATCTAAGACACACTGCTTCATCTCCTCTTCTATATCTTCATGCTTTTTCATGAAAGTTTTTCGAAATTGTTGCTCCAGTTCGTCGAGTCTAGTTTTAATTTTTGCAATTTCGTTGGAAACATTTTTTAGGATATCTTCATTTTGTGCACCAAGGAGCATAATTGTTTTTTCTTTGTGCTTTAAAACTTCCTTTGTTATCTTTGATATTGCAGACAGAACTTCTAAGTTCGACTCCACGACTTCTTTAGGTATTATTTCACCAACATCAGACACAGTTTCTACATGTTCACATTGCCTGTGCTGTGTTGCAACACACAAACAGCAACAAAGTTTTTCATGATCCAAGCAACAAACTTCAACACATTTACCTTCATGCAAATGACAAGGTTCATCTAATTCCGGAAAAGTAAACTTGTCATCTTTGCCTTCAAAACTTAGTGCCGAGATTTTGTGATTTTGAAGAGATCCGATAATTTGATGAAAACGTTTACAAGAAACACAAATAGCCTCTGCACAGTCATAACACCATGACTCCGCCTTACTTTTTTTGTCGTCTCGCAAACAAATGGCACACAATTTTTCCTCCGATTTTTCCGCACTTGAACGTGTCAGTGAGTTGACCAATATGTTGGTTGGAAAATATTTAGCCCATTCGTCCACATCAATCCATGGTTCTGGTCGATTTGTAACTCGACGACACACAGGGCATTCAAAGTCAAACTTCTCTGGATCTTTCCCAATGGCAGCCCTAGATATAAAAGTCTGCAGGCATTTTTCACAAAAAGTATGAGAACAAGGCAAGCGTTTTGGTCTGATAATCTTTTCCAAACAAATCGGACAACTGTAAATTGTGGGATTTAATTTAGTTGCTCCCTCCGCCATTTTGACTGTTACGATTCAAGGTTACAGTATCGGTTTGGAAAAGAATGGTGGCACATTGGAACAAAAAATGATTGCATCTTTTAATTCTGTCAGTCGTTCCGTCAACAACGTTCAAAGAGTTAATCTTTTCCACGTGCTTCATTTTCAAGTTATTCAAATTCTAACAATAATCTCACTGACTTATAAAAGTTTTTGTAATGTTTCCTTTTTTATAGAAAGTTTTTTCTCCATATTCTAATGTTAATAAATTAATTGATCTGAAAAAATCCCCAGATAACACATCTTGATTTGTTTTCCCCATACAACAAATAGTATTTATATTTAAATATAATGTTCTCAACTTTATCAATTAAATATAAGTAATTTGCAATACTAATACTGCAGTTACTTATAAGCATCTATAAATAGATATTAAATGACTTTGTCCTCAAACTCGAGAAATCCAAAATTCCATGATTTAATAGTCTTCATTAAAAAAAAATAATGAGTTTAACGTACATGTAGAATGAAATATTCAATTGATAAAAAAATCTAAGAAAGTGCATTTCATTTTTTTAAAAAAAACTTTCAGCTGGTTGTTTAATTAAATAAGAAAGTCTTTTGTATACCGGTTTTAACATAACACCTAATCCCACCTCAGATGTTGTGGATGTCTGTGTGTGCTCTGCTCCTATTCTGTATTGTTGAATGGAATTTTGAGCTTGAATGCCGTTCGTTAATTCTCCATATATTTCACCTTAAAAATCGAGATTCATGACATTTTTAAAACTGCTACTGTTCCTTTTGCAAACATTTCACATTATCAAAATATGCGAGATCCAGTGTCAGGATAAGCAGGATATCAGGATAAGCGTTAGCATGCTCCAGAACACCCAGTATTTGCAAACGCTTATTGACAACCGCAGCCACATATCTTGCAATAGTTTGCTCAAGTATGAGGCATCGTTTTGGTATTTACTGCCAAAAAGTGATCTATCATCTATTCGTACTGGTGAAGATGGATATTGAGATAACGAACAGTAATCAATCTCAAATTCCATAAAACAATACAAAATAGGAGCAAAGCAAACAAGGACCTCCGAAATATCAGAGGTGCGATCAGGTGCCATGGAGGAGTGAGCATCCCCTGCTGACCGGTCACACCCGCCGTGTGCTCCTTGTCATGATCAGGAAATAACGGAAAAATCCTTCGTCAATTCACTGTATAAATAATGGACTTACTATAAGTATGAAAAAGGTCAGTCAGCATTTGACTCAATGATAAATTGTATTTGCTGACAGGGTCTTTATATCGACCATAGAACTTACGAAATGATGACTTTAAACGAAATGGCTGATATTCTTTTTTCATCAACTTGCTTGTCAATAATTTACCTCCTTTTATCAATTATTCATACGTAGAGCAAGCTCTTGTGTATCGAATCAACTGAGATATATACACTCCGTATGCAGGTGACAAAGGTATATTGCTGCATAAGTAAGGGAAAATGACGATAGAAAAGTTAAAATTCGTCACGTTTATCATATAGCTTTGTTGTTAGATTACCATTAATGTCTTTTTCAAGTTAAATATCCAAGTTTGAAATAGATGTGTCAGACTCTGTGGTATTTTCATCTCTTTAATTTGCCAGAAAAATATTTCCACTCTTCTGTCACCGTGTGAAATGTACCCAAAGGAACACCTTCTCCCCTTCCATGTCTGTTGAGTGACTCTTACAAGAACAATGAAAGTGACTTTGTGTTTATTTAATTAATCCATTAATTGATATCTATTTGTATTTTTCTCTCTTTCATTATTTTTCTATTGATAAAATATTAATTTGTATTTTTATATTAATTTTCATGCGAGTATATTCGGCAGTTGGAGAGTGACAGTCAAGCACTCGGACCACCGACTCCAGATCTGGTAGATTTTGTTAAGTTTTAGGATCTTTAATAATTTGTAAAACGAAAACCCATTCCTGTGAATAAATGTCTGAATATTTATATTGTAATAATACTAACAAGCTAATTCAGAGAATTTTTGTCCCCCGCTTAGGGAAAAAGTAAACCATGCGCAGTTCGGGGGGAGGGGGGGGGGTCGATCCCCCTGACTGAATTTGTGGAATTATTAAATGTATACTTAAGAAAATAAAATATGCCAATATGGATATAAAGATTTGATTGCTTATTCTTTATTATGTGTATAGAAGATTCTTATATATGGAGTATTTATCATGATGATTTTATGAGTTTGTACAAGCCAGACCTAATAAATTTTTCATTTCATATACTGAATACTATCATTAAGTATGAAAAAATATTTTGGAAAAAAAGATAGTGGATCATCCGGGATTCGAACCCATGTCACATGTGAAGCGAGAGACATACCACATGACCACGGAAACGCTTGCAACCGCCATAAATTATATGCAGAAATGAAGTCACATACATGTATATATTCACGTTCGATATACTAAATTTCACACAATGAATGGTGTCTAATTTGGCCTTTATTAAACAGTTCTAATAGTTGTAATAAGAATATAAAGTTTGCCGAGAACCTGTTTTATACGGAATAACTCTCCTCTTGCCCCTGTGCTAAAAATAGCGACATGTAAAAAATACAATAAATAAAATAATAATAAAACAAACGGGGCGGGACACTTTGAGAGAGAAGAGAGAGCTCCAAGGGAGTTTTGGTATAAAATTACATGTGCATTGCAAAAGCTCAAAATCTTCTTGGAATATCGCCCGGAAACGATAGTGTTACAAACAGACAGAATATAAAAAATTTACGACCTTGAACTTTGACCTTTTGACCTCAATCAATAGGGGTCTTCCTTAGCCCACAGTGAGTTGTTCTGAAAAATTTCATTGAAAAAGTTCAAAGGGTTCCCGAGATATTGCGCGGAAACGAAAGTGTTATAACGGACAGAATATGCAATTTTTTTTACCTTTGACCTCAAAATCAACAGGTTTCTTCTTTAGTCCATAGTGAGTTGCTATGCAAAATTTCAATTCGAAAGCTCAAGGAATTCTCGAGATATCGTGTGGAAACGAAAGCGTTACAGACAGACAGAATGACAGATAGATCCAAATTAATATCCCCAACTGTTCAAGCGGGGGACAATAATTTTCATTTTATTTACGTCATATATTTAAGTATAAATAATTCAGTGTCTCTGGGGCACAAAAAACCGCCTAAGACCAAACTTTAATCTGCTTTTAACTTTTTTATCTGCATTAGATTGAAGATAAATTTTTAACTTTATAAAAAGAATGTTGAAAGATATTTTCATGATAGGAATCTTAAATTTAATCATTAATTTTGCAAAATTTTGACATCAACCAAAGTTTTTCGTCTTACATGTAGTCGTAAATTCTATTGTAAAACGGGTCTAAGGATATCAACATGAACATTTTCGACGACATATTTATTTCTAAACACTAGTTCTATAACTCTAAACAGGTTTGATAGTCAAACTATAGGCAAAAGTCATATTTACATATTGAAAAGCTTCTCTAAGTTCAAACGTAAAAAAATTACTTTATCTACAACAATTTAAACAAGATGTGCTTGTGAAACACTATGCGCCCGGCGGCAACAAATTAAAAAAACGTATTTTAAGCATAACGGCTAAAGTGAAGGTCACAAGGTCATTGACCTTGGTGTCATTTGAAAGATCTTAATTAGTGAAGTATGCATACTAAATATAAAGTCTCTATCTTTCATGGCTCAAAAGTTATGGTGAAGGTTCAAAAAACTATTTTTAGCATATAAGACACAGTGAAGGTCACAAGGTCATTGGCCTTGGTGTTGTGTGAAAGGGCTTTATAAGTGGAGTATGCATGTCGAATATTAAGTCTCTATCTTTCTTCGTTCAAAAGTTATGGCGAAGGTTAAAGTTTGCTGTCAAAAACGCTATATTTAGCATATAGGCCACAGTCAAGGTCACATTGTTCATGGTGTCTTTTTAAAAAGCTTAATAAGTGTTGTATGTATACCAAATGTGAAGTCTCTATCTTTTATGGCTCAAAAGTTATGGCAAAGGTTAAAGTTTGCAAAAAAGCTTCTATTTTTAGCATATAGGTCACAGTCAAGGTCACAAGGTCATTGACCTTGGTGTCATTTGAAAGAACTTCATTTGTGAAGTAGGCATGCCAAATATAAAGTCTCTAACATTCATGGTTCAAAAGTTATAGCGAAGGTTAAAGTTTGCAGACAACCAGGCGAACAGACAAACAGACAGACAAACAGGACAAACAAAAAATCTTTCGATCCGGGCGCATAAAAATGTTATTGTAGTTTTAAAGTGATTGTTATTTCAAAATAAAGTGTGCATATAATAAAAAGATCACTAAATATTTAATGTTACAGCCCTTATGTACAGATAAATTTTTTATTAAAAAAAATGAATCTCAGCTATGAAGCGTGTAGATAGTACTCCTCCATGGACAATAAAACATTCATCATATACTTGAATGAAAAACATGAAAATGGCTTGGGTCAATCTGAAATAAAACATCGACAACTACTACCGTCATGCTCAATATGAAGAACATTTTTCAAATGTGCGTTTGCTTGTTCTCCACAATTTTTACAATTGCCATAAAAATATTGGCCACTTTTGTCACAAACGGCGCCTTTGTCCGATAAAGAATAACTTTACACACTTGTATTATAGTTCTTTTATTACATGTACTTCCTATGCGCCTACAACTCCCACATGGTGCAGCAAAGTTTTCACACTTTGGATTTTTCCATTGCAAGGAGTATACATTATTCTGGGGGTCAAATGACAAATAGTTAAAATTTTCTTCATCTTTCTGTTGATAGCAAAATATTTTTTTTCCAGTCATTGAAAAACAAACCACCTCATTATTCCCTGTCAGAATAGCAATCCGGTCACAGGTCCTCAACAGAGCCATTACATGACCCGTTTGTGGTTTCTGGAAAGCGATTGTGTTAATAACTGATGAGACTGGGGAGAGTAAAAAGATTGTCAACTGGGTTGTTGATGCTATTACAATTCTGTTATGCTCCTCATCTACACCAAAAACGCAAAAGCTTCAGATCTATTTCTCTGACACAAGAAGCAATGGTTGATTTTTTAT